CCCCCGCCGCGCGCTGCAGCGCGCGCGAGGCATCGCGCGCGCTCTTGGGGCTGCGGCGGCTGGCAGCATGAGGAATGCCGCCGGCCAGCAGCAGAGGCGCAGCTCATGCGGCGGCGTCAAGTGGGCCCATAACCCAGAACAGGGGGAGCCCCATAGGTGTTACCTCTGGAGTTAGGGGAGGGAGGATACTCCCGGATACCGGGCCGGTGGCCCGTTGGGGGAAGCCCGAGGGGGCTTCTCTGCGCGGCTAGCCCTATGGTCGTTTCGCACACTGTGGATTGCGTCGATACGAAAGGCCGGCGCAAGGAGGCCTGCCAAGCGACGGAAAATAACGAGGCAAAATTATTGAATTATACCCCCCGCCATGCCGCAACGTCTGAATAGCGCGCTAATCGTATCGAAAGATGCTTCGGAAAGATCGGCTAGCTAGTATGCTGGTACAGGCTCCATGACTCAGGGGAGTGTGCAATCGGCCCACTCAAAGGACACGCGGCGGTCGTTTTTCGAAGCGAACCGTCCCAAGAGTCCGTCCGACGTGGTGGGCTACTGGCCCATACTCGACGTGTGCCTTGCGTCAAACATTAGTCCTCCACCGATCACGAGTTCTTATCAAAACCAGCGGCCGTTTCGATGCGGGTCTGCCGCGAAACGTTTCCTCGCCAACGTATCGAGTCTTGCCGCCGTGTCCTAGCCTCTTCTTTTGCGAACCAATCCGGCCACCGACTGCGTTGCCACTCAGGACCCGCCTCCCTGTCATTCTTCGACAACTCGAGCTCTGGACTGCCTTCAAGGCGACAACAACGCGATGCCATTGCGTATCTGCACGCGACGAGATATCTTTGTGGATATTTCGGCGATCCCTCAGACCCAGATAACTGGAGCATCGTTCGCAAGGCAAGCCTCTCGCTGACCAATGAGATTCGCAGGACCATGCCGAATGAAGTCGTATGGTCGCCGATGCGCTATCTCGCAATCGTCAATAGAGTGAAAGAAGAGTGCGTTCGTCATAACGTGACCCCGGAACAGTGGCAAGCACTTCATCGGCCCTAGACGACCGACGCGAATCCGGGGGCCGGGGGGAGCTCTTGGGCCTCGGGTGGGCTCTTATTCACCCGGTGAGTCATGCCCCTAGTGCGTCATATTATCCCGGCCTACCAAGACAGGAAGGGAGGAAAGTATCTGCGAAGAATATAGACTAACCTTGCTCTCTCTTAGAGAGAGATACCCCAAACTAGGGTATCTAATCGGTACTAGTGGGGCTGCCCTGCCGTGTGAGGGTGAACTATCGAGGTTACGCAGTGGCGGTACACCGGCGTCTCTGTTATCCTCACGTCACCTCAGCTGCCGTAGTATACGGGGGCTGGGGCTACTGGACGAATTAAGTCGATCTCTGATCCCAGGGGTAGTAGCAGTTTCGTTTGACCTCCTCTTGAGGAAGGCTTGGCGATCTCGCCTATACTGCTGTTCAGCGGTTACAACTCTATCATCGAACAAGCTAGGAGCATTGACTGAAGGACCGGGTCGAAACTTCTGCCTCCCTTTGCCATCTCTGCCAGGGCGTCGATTGCCAGGGCTCTCTGTCCTCAATCGCTGGACCGGGCCACAGACACGCATTGCGAATGGCAGCGAATATTCTAGGTGATTTCGAGGGGGTGCACTGGCACGGAACACCAAGCCTGGCCGGGCGTGTCCCGGAGACATCAGCCCTGAATTAAACGGACATTCAGGGGGGAGTCGACTGCGACCCTAGCCCTCAATCAAGCCATTCTAAGCATACTAGAACTTACTGTGCTGCCACTGTACCACATAAACCCTGTATCCTACCCTGCCTAGCCCGCCTCAAGCATTAATAAATTGTATAGCACGCGAGACGATGGTGACGATGGACACGAATTCACTACTCATGCCGCTCCCAGCCAGCCGCGTGCGCAGTCGGAGAGCGGGACAGTTTCGTCAAGTGGTTCATTGAGGGTCATACGGCAATATAAGGTTACTCATCTAGCTCGTCCAATCAAGATCTTATGCGTTCCTTCGCGTGTGAGGGGAGCGAGCTTTCCCTGGCCTACAGCGAGCTGGAATCCATCCCCGCGGAGCTAGCCAACGGCGAGGGACCACGTGTTCGCACCCTCAATCTCACGGAAACGGGAATCAAATCGCTCAAAGCGTTGGAACTCTTTCCGCGGCTCCAAACCCTCGTGCTCGACAAGAATGCACTCGTTGGCTTGATAGACTGTCCGCCAATCCCCACACTGACCACCCTGTGGTTTAATAACAACAGCATCGTAGACTTGGTCGGTTTCATTGACGACGTCGCTCGCCTCTTCCCGTATTCTGCCCGCGCCACCCTGCTGCGGGTGTCTGCGATGACCGTTCTCTTCTAGGCGCATCACCTACTTGAGCTGCATGCGGAACCCGGCATGCCCGGGTCTCATGGACATTGTGACGCCTGACGAGGAGGCGTGCAAACACTACCGCCTCTATGTGCTCCATCGACTCCCAAGGCTCGAATGCCTTGACGCCGCAGACGTAATTGGACCCGAGCGATCCGAGGCTGCAATTCGAGGCCAATTCTCGATCAAACGACGGCCAAACAATCAGCATGCGCCTGCTGGACCTGGCCTTGTCGAGATTGGGAACAAGGATGAAGGCAATCCCTTTGCTGTGCGATCAGAAGATATCGCCGCCTCTTCGGCCAGTGTCCCAAACGCTGCGCCCATCGCC